AGTGTAGTAATGACACAGTACTTTAACAAAGACCTCACTAATGCCAGATTGGAAAGCGGAGCTATCCCCCCCCCCTGCAACTTACCCATGATGTCTCTTTTCTCAACCCATTTGATTGCTCATCAATAATTACTTAATCAGCTAACACTCTCCAGTTGCCAACCTAGGGAACAGCAGCACAGAAAGCAACTCCTAAGTAGTAACATAATGCTTCTTGCTTAGCAGCAGATTTTTGTATTTATCCTCATTAAATGTGTGCTTATTAAATGTGGGTCTTTGTATTCCTGCCAGTACTTATACTTCATTGAGATAAATTTTCTCTCCTAATTTGGCACGATCTGTACATTGAGGCTGTGCACTTTTCATTCCCTTTTTGAAGTCACTAACTAATGAATATATTAAACACTGTCAGGCCAACATTTATATTTCCCAAAGCATTCATTCAATCACGGGGATGAAGAAGAGTATGTCCTTATACTCCTTCAGACATCTATAATAGGAAACTGTCTCCTCGATTATTGAATTTCTAATATCTGCACAACTTGGAAAGCAATTAGAATTAGAGGACACCTCTAGACTGCTGGACAGGTATGCTAAAAATAAGCCAGTTGAAATCTTTTCTTGTTGACAGCTGCTGTCCTGACATCAAGCAACAGCAGGTGAAAGATGTTTGAGGTATAACAGGTAAGCCTAGAGTATGCTTCATAAAGAAACAGCCAAAATATACCAAATCAGTCTTCAGACAAGTATTTCAGATGTATTTTGAGCTGATGTCACTAAATACCTAAAGCAATACAGCTCAAGCAAATACTGAACAGGGCTCCATGTATCAAATTTTGGACTAATCCCCATCTGAAGAGTAATTATTAGCGCCTGCAAACCAGGAATGAAGAAATGCTAAGCAGGGAGGGAATGGATCTTTTATGGTCTTGCCCAGTTGCGCCAAATCTAATTCCCAAAACCTATATTTATGGCATAGGTTGGGCATAGGAACATGATGTGCAGATATGAAAGATGGAACACCCGAAGCAACTTACAAGTTCATGACATTTATAACTGGGTACTAAATTCCCATGCTATGTTACAAAATTCACTTTGTACTGTTACAAATATATACATATCACAACTGTATATAGCCAGGTTAATTATACTGCTTAGAGTCCGATCCTTATTTATCCTCTTTTTCTTCTCCATTAACATCTTATCGCAAAACTAAAGTGGAAGACTTCCTAAACTTGTAGTATAAACTGTTATGCACCAATCATCATAATTGTCATTCACTACTATCATCATCTTGCCTTTTCCCCAATTCTGGGATTCAGAGCAGCTTACAAATGATTAAAGACAGTAGAAATACAAGTTAAAAACATACAAGAACATCACTCAGAAGCCCACTGCAATAAATTCCTAAAACCCCAATGGAGCAGGAGTTTTCACATCAGCAAGGACGGCAAGAAGATACATCCTGTTCTCGCTTAGCATGAAGTTCAAAGTTCACGAGGTCACTTCTAACTCTATGATTCTACAGGAATCTGTTAGCAACAACATCCAGTGTTTACAATGGACTCTGCAGAAACATATATACTCAGGGTAGAGTAGAAATTTATTGGAAGGAAAGAGATTGTGAATGGAAAAAATGTAGGCAGATCCAATCTACCGTATATTCCGGCATATAAGACGACTGGGCGTATAAGACGACCCCCAACTTTTCCAGTTAAAATATAGAGTTAAGACGACTCCCATGCATAAGACTACACCCGCGTATAAGACGACCCCTGACTTTTGAGAAGATTTTCTTGGGTTAAAAAGTAGTCTTATATGCCAGAATATACTGTAATTAACTGTGGGTCTCAACCCCAGATGGGTTGTCTTATCTCAATGTTGGGGGTCTCAAAAAGTTGGGCAACAGCAAAAGTTTTCTGAACATTACCTAGTGGCTGTTCTAGACATTTGCACAAATCCGTTGTGCAGTGTTTACAGTGGACTCTGCAGAAGATGCTTCAGCTGTACTTCATAAAAAGGAAAATCAGCCTATTTTGCAAGCCTTGCTAATGCAGATTTGTTATCAATAAATACTTGATTTTTATATCTATTGTATATATCTATATACCCAGGGTCATGTGAAAATTTCTCTAGCCAAAAGGGGTCACAAGTGGGAAAAGCCCTGATTTAATGAAATGCCCATGTAGGACTCTGAAATTAGTGGTTATTGGGAATGGAGAAAGGATATTTCTTGCCCCCATCTGCACTGCCTCTCATGCAGCGTCCAAACTTGTTATGGAAGCCTAAACACCATTCTAATGTTGAGATTTACAGCTAAGTCCTTCACAAGCTGAATTTGACTCTATGTCTATATCTATTTTGCTGAAGTTCTGCTTTGGGAGCTTGACTCTTTGTATCTGCCAGAATTTGATTCCAGTCCCCCATGGATACCAAAATCAATGGAAACTCAAGTCCCATTATATACAGCAGTGTAGTAAAATGATCAAATCAAGGAACATATTACATATTAATAAAATACATATTAATAAATATATATATATTCAAGACAAGGATAGCTGAATCTGTAGATGCAAAATCTGTGAATATGAAGGGCTGATTGTAATTCAAAAGCGACTGATAAAGACTTTGGTAAAGATTATGGACAGAAGGCACATTATACAATTTTTCGCACTTGACAAAGAAGAGCATTTCAACATTTTGAGACATCTCTCGTTCAAAATTTTGCGAACTGCTGCCTGGTTTTTTGCTTCTGCATGGCAAGAAAAAGACCACCCAGAATCACTAAAAACCTTTCACATTTTGTGCAAGAAAAATATTCATGAAAATTTCATGTAAAAAGTCCTGAAATGTGAAAAAAAACTTTCAAAAAGGTAAAAATTCTTGTAATTTCATGAAAATGGGGGAAAGCAGTAAGTTTTGTTATTTTGAATTAGAATAAAATACATAAATATTACATCTCTCTTTCAGACACTGGTTAAATTATTACTTTTGTAATAATAAATTTAAGTTAGCATCTCCTAGTATAAGACATCTTGCAAAAAACCAAAAACAAACCAAAAACAACCCAATAACAAATAGCATTGCTCTTATTAAACATCCCTGAAAAGAAGCAGAAAGATGAAGGAAACATGAAATTTGATATATTTTTTTCCTTTTCTACCTTTCTGCTCCACCATTTTGAAAGTCTAAGGAAAACTCCACAAAGTGTGTTGAATATGCTTATTTATATATATAAAAATACTTGAATCGATTTCTCTTCTCATCTCTCTTTTTTTTTCATCCTTGGAGATCAAATTGTATTCCACTGAGCATGCAATCTCCAAAGGATTATCCATAGGATTTAGCCCCCCTCCTCTCCCATACACATTCAGATTTTTTAAAATTCTTCCTAAAGATTAATTTAAATTCATGTAAACCTTACTCCTTCTATCTAGTGCATGAACTGGTGCTATCAGTGGTTTCCAACCTTTGGGCCTCCAGGTGTTTTGGACTTCAATTCCCACAATTCCAAACAGATGGTAAGATGGCTCGGATTTTGGGGAGTTGAAGTCCAAAACTCTTTGGCAACACCAAGAAAGGAATTTGACATCACCATCAATCAGTGTTTGAACATCTTACTTGGAAAGGTAAAGGGATATGCTGTCAGGCATACTCTAGTAGTTCAACAAGTTACAAATATATTTAGTTATACTATTATACATCCTAAAGACACACAAAGTTAGCTGCTATCCGCTATTTTCAGCAGGATGTGTACCCTCTGATTTTCAACCAGTTTGCACATCCAACACTCCTTACAATTTACTTCTCCTAAATGGAGAGAAGTTCAGCACTTGGGTTGTACCCACTAGGAGAACTGTAAGATCTGGGCTCAAAAATGAAACTGATGGATTGCTTAAGTATTCCTAAGCCAAACAAAAGCACTGCTTAGAGACTCCTTTTAAACAATGTTATTTCTATCCCAGCCTCAGAGCTTCCAAAGCTCCATCAAATAACGGTTATAATCTACTCTGCATTTAAAGAAGATTGCATCTATTTTCACATGACATGGAGGTGTACACCAGATTACAAGAATTTTGTTAGTCATCAGTAAGTGCATGTGAAAAATAATTGGCCTAAAATGCTATTTTGGGGTTCTGTTTTTCTTGATTTACCCAGTGAAAATTGTAACAGAAAATACTGTGAATTAATTACATATATGGTTATTGGGAACTCACAGCAGTGCCATCTACAGGAGATTCAGAAAGCAATTATATCAGATAAGACCTTTGCCATCTGTTCAGCTGGGAGGAAGAATGACCAAATCTCCCAAATACACCATAATCAACATCAACATCAACATGAGAGATAGGTCCACTCTGTTGTGAGATATATTTACCTAATGCATTATGTATATTATTAATTTTCTCAGACAATAAGAAAGAGTATTTATGCCTGCTACGAATTCCCCCTCCGATCTCAGACACAACTGTTTCTAGTTTGCTCCCTGAAAATATGTGTGTGTATTCTACCCTCTGCTGGTGAAATAATTTATTACATATATAACTGGCTTCAAACAATGTTTTCAAGATATTGTCGAAGGCTTTCATGGCCAGAATCACTGGGTTGTTGTAGGTTTTTTTTGGGCTGTATGGCCATGTTCTAGAGGCATTCTCTCCTGACGTTTCACCTGCATCTATGGAAAGCATCCTCAGAGGTTGTGAGGTCCTCACAACCTCTGAGGATGCTTGCCATAGATGCAGGCGAAACGTCAAGCGAGAATGCCTCTAGAACATGGCCATACAGCCCCCCAAAAAACCCTACAACAACCCAATGTTTTCAAGAGCTTGAAATATATGCTTAAATCTACATTAGCATTGCAAAGTTTATCTTCCATATGATAAAACATTTGAACATCTATTTTTTTCAGTCATGCTCATGACCAACATGTTCATCTACCTGCTTAGCTTCAGGTTTTTTCTCCATAATTACAATAAACATTCTGGAATTCAAGTCCTTACCTTGGGCTTTTCATCCACTATTTGCTGACGGATCTCCTTGTGTTTTTCCACAAGTCTTTCATGCCTTTTGCTCTGAGCATCTTCTAGCTGTATAAAAAGCAGCAAAATAATGTATTAGATTCAACACACATTGCATTTTATACTGAAAGCAATATATTTGCTAGATGATAGCAGAGGTGGGAATCCTATGACCTCTAAGATGTTGACGGGCTGCAGCTCCCATTATTACTTCTGGCTCCATTTGTGAGGGCTGATGAGGACTGTAGTCTAATAACATTTGAAGAGTCATGTGATCTCTACTTATGTAAAGAATAATGCCATAAACCCAGTAGCAAATGTTGGTAATATTATTTTTTTATAATTATTCTCTATGTAATAATAGAAGAATGTATATATGTGAGAACTGGACCTTAGGGAAGGCTGAGCGAAAGAAGATAGATGCTTTTGAACTGTGGTGTTGGAGGAAAGTTCTGAGAGTGCCTTGGACTGTGAGAAGATCCAACCAGTCCATCCTCCAGGAAATAAAGCCCGATTGCTCATTGGAGGGAAGGATAGTAGAGGCAAAGATGAAGTACTTTGACCACATCATGAGAAGACAGGAAAGCTTGAAGAAGATAATGATGCTGTGGAAAATTGAAAGAAAAGGGAAGAGGGGCCGACTAAGGGCAAGGTGGATGGATGGTATCCTTGAAGTTACTGGCTTGACCTTGAAAGAACTGGGGGCAGTGACGGCCAACAGGGAGCTCTGGCGTGGGCTGGTCCATGAGGTCACAAAGAGTCGGAAGTGACTGAACAAATAAACAACAACATAGGAAAGAGCCAATACTCTGAAATCTAGATCCCTGAAACTTGTCAAGGACAGTCAAGGGGACCACTGGCATGTGCATTTTGAAATTATTTTCTTTTTCAAATTGATTAATATACAGTATTTTAGTTAATTTTATCTTCTTTGACGTCTGCATCTGTGCCCTTAGATACCATGGATCTCCAATCTTCCTGAACAAGGCATGCTAGGGAAATTTTCTTCACATCTCTTCACAACAGCTTCACCTCTGCAAGACTTGGGACTCTTCAAACCATTAGGAAATAAAGAGAGTTCCTGCTGCCACCATGCAAAGAGAGGACAATGAGAAAAAAAAAGCTGCATGACTACCGGAGAAAGGCGTTGAAGGTGACCAGCAGTTAATGGCTCATGGACTAGATCTTGTACATGGACCAGCACTTGTTTTTAATCATGTGGAACTAAACCCAATTGCTAGTTTCAACTAGAGAAGATTCAAATGAATCAAAGGAATGCTTAAGTGCTAGCCTGCTTTTTAGGAATTGATTCAAAAAGTCCCCTGCTGTTGAGTCTATAAAATTAAGCCAGTGTCTTAAAACTAGAAGAAACATTTGAACTGTATAAGTGGCTAACAGTGTAGTGTTAAAAGAAAAGCTAATCAAGAAACAGGGAAACCAACAAGACAGTGAGTTAAAGCCGCACATTTTTTGACCTCAGACCCAATGTTTAAAGCAGGCATCCCCAAACTGCGGCCCGAGAGTCCCAGAAACTCTAACAAGCTTGTTCAATTGTCAGGAATTCTGGGAGTTGAAGGCCTAAACAGCTGGAGGGCCACAGTAAAAGCCTAAATAACACAAAGAAGGGGAAATAGGATTTGTCGGTGATCATGCTGTTTGTAAATACAGGGTGATGTAGTCCACCATCTGTGAGCTGCAAGGTCAAGAAAGGACAGTGCAATATGTCACATGGGAATCCCAGTTGCCCTCTCCCATGTTTTTGGAGCTCCTTCACAAATGACCATTCTTGCTGGGAAGAGACCTGGGACTCTGGGGTTTAACTAGATGATAAGTTTTATTTTTTGTAAATCTGCTCCCCAAGAGACCTTTACATAGAATATTATTATTTCAACAAATCTTACATTTTTGCCCTTTGCTTTATAATTAGTATCAGAAGATAAAAATAAGCTTTATTTGGAAATCTAATTGCTAAGGCACATAATTCTGTGCAAATCTGGTTATGACAAGGAGATTGGTTCAGTTGCGTGGACCACACATTTCCCTTAATGTGAACTCTGATCCAGTTTCTCCTGCCATTCCCAGTTAAGACACTGACCTACGTCTGAATTAATTCCTACTGGGGGAAAGACTTCCAACTTCTGAAAGGGCAAGTAAGTTAGTAAAACTTTATTTCTATCCTGCCCTATCTCTCCATGGGGACTCAGGGTGGTTCACAACATAAAAGGCAAACATTTAATGCCGTATAATATAACAATAGACTAAAACAATTCAAATAAACATAACAGAGCATGTGACAATAAGGGCTCTTGTTCCTGTCCGAAGCTAATAATAAGAGTGTAGTTTCTTTGAACTGCACACAGGACCTCAATTTTCTCTCCAGATGAATGAATAAGGTTCTGAGGAGATAGAACACCTGTTGCCTTTGTTGGTGACATTCCCTGCAAGGAGGTAACTGGACTCTAGGACTAGGAAAGGAAAGGGAGGCAAGAGCAAGCTTTACTACTGTTGAGCAGACACAATTCACAGCTCTATCATAAGAAGCTATGATCAGACCACTGTTCAACTTGTGCTTGCCCATGAGGAGCTAAATCAAGACATCTTTTTTTCAATACTCAGCCAATGTACATCTTGCAATGTGTTAAGTGTGTCTGTGACATGAAATCTCATTTCCGGAGCCTCTGCCACCTTGGTGTACAGAAAACAGGACAAGTTCCTCATTCTATTCCATTGTAACATCCGATCTGAAATGCTATTAATATTTCACACACTATTAATGTGGCCAGCTAAATTCCTCCAAACTTGATATTTACTAATGTTGTGGATGGACATATAAAAATGACTGTATATCAAGATAATAATCAAGTGAAGGTAGGAAAACAAGTTGAGAAATACACATATGCATATGCATGTTTGTGTGTGCAGCACAGAAATACCCTCATGCAATATTTCTTTATACAAAAGGAGAAACTTCACTACTGAGCTTCTATGGTTTTTCTGACACCATGCCATAAGCACATACAAATAAGCTTGAATGCACTTATATGCAGATGACTCACCCTTTTAATGTTTTGCACCACCTCCTGAATATATGACCGAATCATTTCTGTCTTCTCCCTGAGAACAAGATTTGGGGAAAAAAGGATTGATTCCATTCAATTAATTCTTATCTTATGTTATCAGTAACCAATATGATTCTGCCACCGTCTTCTTCTTCAATTTAGCTAAATAAGGAAAAAGGAAATTAGAACAGATATTACTAAGGCCCCTTCTATACTGCCATATAAAATCCAAATTATCTGCTTTGAACAGGATTATTTGAGTCTACACTCCATATAATCCAGTTCAAAGCAGATAATCAGGATTTTATATGGCAGTGTAAAAGGGGCCTAAGTGTGTTGAATACAGGCATTGTGAAGTGATTGAAATTTTGGTGATAAAGCCCACAAATATTGAAAGTGGTGGAGTGTTGTAGGATTTCCGTGTTTGTTGTGCACGTGTATATTCATGGGTACAGTATTATAAGTTATTATAAGACACTTTATTGAAAAGGGAGGTTCACATTTTTTAAATAGTTAAGCATTGTGATAAGTATGGCAAACCTCCTTCAGCCCAAGATGGATTCAATTTCAGAGACATTCTTGTGTGTAGTATCCCATAGAGACTCAGTACCCTGGAGAGAGCCTTACATTTAAATGTGGTGTGGACATATTACCACACTGATATGGAGACCACCAACTGCCACTGCTAAAGAGTTACATTTTGTCTTTTAAAAATTAGAGTTGGATCAAACCACCAAAAACTAGTGTCAAACTAGTGTGTGGCGATCTGCAGAATGTTTGATTTGGCCCCAAAACTAGAGGTTCTGTAATACATAATCACTGGGGGCGGGGGGGGGGGGCTGCTTATGCCTACCTCTGCATCTGACGTTGGAAAAGGAATATCAAGAACAATTCAGAGCTTCAGTATCTTTGATATTCTTTCAATATCTTCAGCACATAATTTAAGGTAAGAGATAACATCTATACTTACTCATCTACTTGACTCCTATCCTTTGATTTGGCTTCTGTGATTTTCTCCTGTCTCTTTTTGTCCATCTTTTTCTTTAACTCTTTCTTTTCTCTGTAACAAACAGATTTTTAAAGAGAAGGAAAAAACAGAACAAAGCTAAGACTGACAGCAGATAAACAAATCTTTGCTTGTTTCATTCTCAAACATTTTCATTTCTCTGAGTAAGATTATGAGTGTAAATGCTGTTAATGTTTGCACATTGGGATAGTTTTTTGGGGAAAAATAATTTGAGTAAAGGAAAATCCTGGGAATGTTTTTTTAAATAGTATCTTGTACAAAAGTGCACTACTTTATGTGAAGGAATACTGGACTTTGAACTGAACAGAAGATTTTGTGCAAAATACTAGGGATTTCACATGCAATTTTTCACAAAGGAGGTTCATAAAATGTGCAAAATTTCACAGTTCTATTGGTTTCAGAAGAGTTCCTGGCTTTATTGGGGCACATTTTTTAAGATGCATGAGAGAATTTAAAAATATTTACATCTGGAATTAAAGATTCAAATCTATGTATATAGTAAGCAAGTACTACTGTCTTCCATGAGCTGACTCTATAATAATATGTATTTATAATTGAAAGGACCAATTTGCTTATTTACAATGTGCCTTACCTTTCACACATTTCTTTAAGTTTCTTCAACTGATTATTTTGGCATTCCTCTGCTACATCTGTCAACTTTTGAATGAGCTTAGGAGGAAAAAATAGAATGTCAAGAAATTACAACACCTATATATTATTGCTAGACATTCTGGCAATTTAAGAGTTTAAGCTGCTTGAACTTTAAGTCCTAAATATCCCTGCCCTCAGGAGGTGGATGAGTGAGCTGTGCAGGAGGCATGTGTTCTAGATCCTTGTTCCACCTAATATCTCTCTCCTATCCTTTGCCTGGGCAAAACAGAGATTCATGGCATGCAGGAAGAAGAGGAACACATCATTTCACTTATCCTATGGAGGAGCACATCATTTCACTTATCCTATGGATCCAGCTCCTCTTCCTGTGTTCTGTGAATCACTTTTTTTCTTGGGCAAAGGAAGGGAATACGAAAAATATAGCATACAGGAAGAAGAGAAAGAACCCAATCTTCCAGGTAAGTAATATTGCGGGCATACACGGGGCCAACTCCTCCTCTTCTCCATGAGCAAATGAGTACTGAAGGAAAAGGAACACGTGTCACACAAAAAGAGGAGAAATAATTGGATTTGCTGGGGATATGATGTCACAAGAATGGGTTGGACCATTCATCTTCATCCTGTTTGCTACAACTCTCTGTTCCATGTGATATCCCCTTTCCTTTGCCTGGGAAAAAGAGAGACCTGTATCACACAGGAAGAGTGGGAGCTGTCCCCACACATCACTTCATTTACTCTTTCTGTGTTCCATGAATCTCTTCCATTCGGGCAATGGAAGTGTAATACCAGGGGACCAGGAACACATAAGCACACAAGAAGAGAAGGAGGAATTGGATTTACAGGGGAAGTGGCATAGGTGTGGGCCAGTTCTTCCTCCTCTTCCTGTTTATCATTAGTCTGTTCCACTCAGTATCTTCCTTCCTTTTCTGGATTAAACAAACTTGCGGCATGCAAGTAGGAGGAGGGGCCTTTATTCTGTGACCCTTTATTCTGCCCAGGCAAATGCAGAGACATACTGGAAGAACAAAAATATATGGCACACAAGAAGAATAAAAGGAATAATATCTTCTGGAGAAGTGATATTGTGGGCATGTGCAGGGTTGGTTCCTCCTCCTCTTCTGTTTTGCCCCATGCTTTGGTCCCTTCCATATCTTACTTCTTTTGCCTACGTAAAAGAGAAACTTGTGCAATGTAGGAAGAGGAAAAAGAGCTGGGATCTGCAGAATAAGTGAAGTCATATGCAGGACTGGCTTCTCCTCCCTCCTGAGTACCACAGTGGTGATACCTCATTCCTCCCTCTTCACTGGACACACTTGAGGTTGTTCTACTTTCATGGGGGAGCTATGCCCCTAACACTCAAGAAAATGGGGGGGGGGGAAACTGTACTTTGATTCCATCTTTTTGATTAAAGTAACCAGTTGAACTAACAGCAGGTACTCCTGATAGGGTCCACTTGCTGGGACCCAGACTGGAATTGTATACTAGCAGTGTTCATGTCTTCTTTTCTGTCCTTCTTGGCACTCCAAACCATCTACCAAACTGACTGGATTCCTGTTTCAGCCCTAAGGGTTGCCCCCTACAGTGTGTTTGACTCAGACAACAGTGAAGCTGCAGCTGTAAAAATAAAAGCTGCCTTGGAACATTATATCCATAATATCATTTCGCTGTTTATAGCTTGTGTTCTGCAATCCATTTAGAGTACACATAGTTTCACAGAAGGTTATCTGGCACAAACAAAACTATCTGGAAACCATTTTATTGCTATCAAAATCCTTGTTTCCAGTACTGTAGGCTATGTGAATCTAATTGCTTGTTCTGGGATGATTTTTAATAAACGTTGTTACAGCAACAAATTATTCAGATCTTGTTGGTTTCATCTTCAAAGCCACAAAGTGCAGGATCCCCAAAGAGTAGCCCAAATGTCAAAGCAATCAATTATGACTCAACATTTGTAGTTAGTTGGAGCAGATGTGAAAGCTGGCAAGATGCTGCCTCCTCACAAGCCATAATACTATAATTAAGAGTGAGAAAAGGAAAGGTGTTGGAAATGAAGGAGCCAATATTATCATAATGTCTTTACAGTAAACTCTCTTGGAACATGATGTACATTTCCGGGAGACAATTTTTTTTAAAAAAAATTATGAAGTTGCTCCATCTTTCTACAATTTTTCCCAAACCACTGCGAATCCTTATTTTTTGTCATTTGTAACAGAAGTGGGGAGAGACAGAACCATATGGTGCTTTTTATAAAACCCTACATATAGACATACAGATAATAACTGATCAAAAGTCAACCTTATGTATAAGTCAAGGGAAGGTTTTGGAGCTGAAATTATGAGTTTTGATATGGCCTATGGATAAGTTATGGGTTATTCCATGAAGAGGGAAAAGTACCAATGTCAGCTCAAGAGGCCAGCCATCTCTGCTGTTGCTGCCTTTTTCTAGCCCAGGCATTTAAAAAGGCAAAAAGTGGTGCTATGGGAGAAAAAGTTGAGTGCTCCGTTTAGGTTCTCTCTCACCTTTTATCATGCTATTCAGAGAAAGAGTTGGTGCCTTTTTTCTAAGAATTAAGGTACAGTAATCACATTGACTCAGGGACAGGTCGATACAGGTTTGTTTTGGATTGACATATTGATGAAATTTCAAGACGTAATGGTAGGTTACATACCTGTGACCATCTTTCTTCGAGTGGTGCTCTGCGAATTCACACTTGTGGAGAGT